GCAACGGTGTGAGCCAGTTTATGCCCGTTTATTGGCCAAGTAGCGAAACCGAGGAGAAGTGGAACTCGAAGCCGAAGGCGGAGCTCAAAGGTGGAAGAATGCCTTTCGGCCACTTTGTATTCGAGTGAATAAATTAATGCACACACACATGTGAATCACAACAGGCCCGCTTGACATTTTCACATTTTTGATTCGGTGCTTACAAAGGGCAGAGCGTGTAGAGGACATCAAAGGACACGTGGACCCGAAATATTCTTATTCGTTTTACACTTAGAGGGGCTCTCCAAATAAATGTACTTTCTGGGAGCATTTAACATAGGGTCTTTGGGGACTTAAGAAGGTCTAATGGCCGCGCCGATAAATCAACTTTTCTTTATAGTTTGCCCTCGAGTTTACTGTTTTCTGCCACTCGGACGAAGACATTAAAAAACGGCCACGAAGGGCGCCAATTTTGTGTCTGCCGAAAGCAAATGAAGCTTGAAGCCCTGAAAAACAAAGCAAACGAAGCAGAAAATTGTGTGTTTCTAGTTGATGGTTGGGGCACTATGAACTGAGAAAGAAGTAAAACAAATTAATAATGCTGGGCAATAAAATATTTTATAACGCTCCCGTTGTTTTATGGCCGCTTCAGTCTAATTTAACTATTGCCCAGCAGCCGAAAAAGGCATCCAAAAAGGAGAAATTCTTTCACCTTCATCAGCGAATGTTTGTTGACCGCTTGAGATTCACTCTCCGCCGCTTTCGGCCTGTTCCGATGATGCGATTTGTAGAGCCACACTTTTCGTTTTTACTCGCGTGTGCTTCGAATTTTAATGAAAATATGTACTTCAGCTTTTCGATAGACATTTCAACTGCAAGCACATCCGCATAAATGGAATTCGGTACTTGTGACCGTAAATAAACTACACTGAAAAAATGATTCCCTTTTCGAATTGCATGAACACCGTACTTATTTGATTGCATAATAGGTGGACTCGGTTTTGGCCCACTAATATGGAAATGGTGTTAATAAATTAAGCTTCTTGGTGGCTCCACATATCCTTTTTCGGGTGTTTCGGGCTTCCGGTCGCTCTATTGCTGTAATAAATTGCTCTTAATAGCCGGAGTGTTAATTAATTGCTCCAGAACTCTTTCAATTTTTTGCCCATATCGATTTTTATATACTTACACCAGGTGTAATTATTTTATCACTCATTTAATTAGTTGGTAGTTCCCACGCCTTGTGGGCGGGTGCGGAAAGTGCTATTATGTGCATTCCGTGCGTGGCTTCCCCCTGCCCTTTGACCTTGAGGGGTGGGCAGTGCATATCGTATTCCACGGCACTGTGCAACACGCAATTAAAAGCCTTTGCCAATCAAAGGCGCATTTACATGCATTTCTTGTGGCTGCGTCTGCTTTTATTTCCCTCTCGGATTCGGCTCGACCTCCTCCCCATCGGCCACCCAGCCGCTGAACCACTCAGCCTCCCCACACACCACCCACCACCGCACCAGCGCACCACCTTGCCGCCGCACCACACAATCCATGCCCAGCCACCTTCGGGTAGGGCAGTGGCGTTATGCGACTGCCAATCAACTTTTTCGATTGCCGGCGGCGCAACTTTTACGGCTTTTATTGTTATTTTGTATTTTTATGGTTTTTTAACAGTAATAATTAATTTAATGTGCGCTTCGCTGTAGGTAAATCGACTGCACACCGCTCCTTGTTTCGTCTGACGTTGTTATTTCCTCGGCTGTCTGTTTGTTTTGCATTAGCGAGATGTGTAAAAACTGTTGTTGAACATTTTTGCCGCCGGTTTTATGAATGTTTTGTGACGCTGAACTTTAAACAATAAAACCCCAGCCGTCGCAAAAAGGAGACAAATGAGAGGTTAAGTGGGGTTGTTCGGCGGGATTGTTATTTCGTCAGCCTGTTCGAGATTCATCGGTGGCCTGCGATTTGCTTTGCATCAGTAAGAGTTATGATTAAACAGTTCCCTTTAGTTAAAAGCTTTTTACAGCGGATGTTCGCCGTTTGATAGCCGAAACATGCTTCCTCTGCTCAGTCAACAGACTCTAGTTATTTTTAATATTGCCAGGAGCTTAGGTTCGGCCCCATTTCAGCGCCTAATAATAGAATTCCCCTGTCAATTGAAAGCTTCGCGCTATGGCTCCCCAAAGGCCTTGGCCGTGAGCTTATTAGCACGCACTTAACCTTGGACCACGACTTGTCGGCCGAAATGGAGAGCCGACCGTAAATAATTGCAGCTAACAGTTGGTGGCCGCCTCTCGGTTTTCCTCGGCCGGGCTGAGAAATGACGTCCAATTTCAGCGAGGAAAAGGCGAAAGGAGGAGACAACTTGACACTTATAAATTGTGTCACATACTTCTTGCCGTCCAGCGGGAGAGCTGTTCGTAAGGATGCTGCCGCCAAGGTCCATAAAAGTTTCGAACCAAAACTTTTAATGCGAATCGATAAATCAGAGAACGTTTAATGTAAATTGCAATTGCTTTTTATTTCCCCCCGGCACCCCGGCACCCAGGCTGCCCCGCCCTTCGTAATCTAGTGTCAACTTGTTGAGTCGTAAATAAAAGGAGCTCTCGCCAGCAGAGCACCCATTTCCTCTCGGTGGTCTCCAGTCTCCAGTGATGAGTCCTTATCCCCATCCTGTGTTTTTTGCGTCCGGGGCACTCAATTAGCCGGGAGCATTGCGGCCATTGCAGTTGTCAGTCGCCACAGCTGACAAATTGCATTTGTAGCCGCTCGAGTTGGTGCAAGGGGTTAGGGCGTCGCCAAGATGGGAACGCCGTTTTTCTTATTGATTGGTTTTAATTAGAAAAGCCATCAACCGCAAATTAGCCTTGCGATGGCTTCATTAATAAGTTTTTATAGCACTTTTCTTTTTCGCTCGCCCCGCTTCCCTTCGAGGTCCTGTTACTTTTGTTTTTCTTTAGCACATCCACATGAAGCGGATCGAACGGAGCAGACCGCTCACATAAAGCGATTTATTTGTTTTGAAAATGTTTTCTTGACTCTTCGCTCCTCGCTCGTCCTGCCACAACTTTCGTGATTCATTGAAATGCGGCGTTGTTTCTGTTTTTACGCCTCGCCGAATAATTGCAAAAACTTTACACAACTTTTTCGACGTCGGTGGTTATGGTCAAAAGCAACATTTATCTGACGGCTGAGAGGCTCCCGGAGTTTCCTTCCCTTTCCCGAAGTCACTAATGATGCAAAGTTTATTACGCTAATAGCACTTACGAATAGCTTTCTGATAGTGACTCTACCTCCGACACACTCTTCGCAGACTCCATTGAAAAGTCTCGCAGCCGAGGAAACTTTGAATTTAATAAACTGAATATATCGAAGGCTTGGCATTATAATCCCTTAAGCCCGAGCTGGCACATGGCCCACACATTTCATATTTGCTTTAGAGCCGGCTCTGTCGGCTAATTGTTACTTGGGCAAACTTCGGAGAGCCCCTCGAACGATTCGTATGCCACCACCAGGACCTGGCAGTCCTGGCTTAGGGTTAACTTTTCCCTCTTCCTAAACTTTGCGCCGGTAATTTCATTTAACTAAGCGAAAAGGAAACCTCATCCTTCAGGTGGCTCCCCCATGGAAATTACGACTGCTGTTGCCGCCGCCGCTGCCCTTCAAACTTTTCAGTTTATTTTTGCATAATTGCACTGAGACTAAATTAAATGCTCACGCACTGCGAGCTCCTCGAAAGGAACTTTAAGCCGGGCCAAACTTTCGGCAGCAGACTGTTGGCAACATAAATAAGTGGCTAATGCTCTGTGGCCAGACAGGTCTGTCTATGCAATCGCACTCGGCGCTCCCAGTCCCAAACGAATGGGAGTGTGCAGTGCTGTGTGTATTTGAGGCAACTTTTCTCGATTTAAGCAGGGTTGGCTCAGGAAAATTCACGAGAATGGTTTTCTAACACTTTGTGCTAAAAGGCAGTGCTCCTTGGAGCAAAGTGTAGCATACTTTTCAGGATGCCACTCAGGCATTCGCGGATGAAATTAAACTTGTGCTCCCGAATTGCTAAAGCAGCTTCATTTTAATTAAATAAATATCGATTTACGAAGGAGTGGGTTATCGAAGGTTGATCATAACTGAAACAATGTGTGCGCTTTTCCATCGACCCCAAGTGCAACGGTCTGTGGAAAAGCGATGGGCATGTTAACCCATTTTCCTTCACCGGCTTTGTTTCTTCCGCACCCGCTCGAACATTGTTGCGAGCCCGCTTATGTTTTGCCCTGATTTCGACTGCTTCTGACATTTATGCCCTCTCACTGGGCACAGCTCCTCGGCAGATGGCTGGGCATCCACTTAATTTTCTTGTTAGATTTTATGGCTCACTATTATCGACTTGCCAGGCAGTGGATGATATAGTGATTTATTCGGTGAAATGGGGCTTTTGTGTGGTCACTTGGCACAGCAAATTAAAGGGGCACGACTGATTGGCTTGGAATCGGAGACGAAGCGGTGGAGCTCTGTTCTTGAGATCTCTCACCTCCACAGAGCCACACCCCGTAAACCGATTCATCCCATGTCAACAGCCGCTCCAACTGTCTCTAGTCACGAATCATCTGACGAGAACAACGAATTCTGCCAATGCAGTTTGTTTGTCTACTTTATGTGGGTGCATTTTATGCACTTCGCTTTGGAAATATTGTTTTTATGGCTCGTTGCTGGAGCAAATAAAACAGAATTGCCGGCAAGACGTTAAACCAGACAGGAGAAGGACAGCTCGTCGACGGGGATGCGGAGCAGCAATCAGGCCAATCACGTCCACAACCCCTTTTAGCTCAACTTACCTTTGTACCCGAGTGCCGGGAAAGCAAACACACTGTTTGCTCAGTGATGGGGATTAGAAATTCCATTCAAATTGTTATTCATAAAATGCCAATCGAGTGTTGCGGCTTCCGATTGAACCATTAAATCCAAAGTCTTTATTTGCTGGTGATAAATGATTGCAACTCGTCCCAACTGAATTCCGTTCTCCGTTGCAGGTGGTTCCGACAGCAACAAGGGAAAGAGCAAAAAATGGCGCAAAATATTGCAGTTCCCGCACATATCGCAATGCATCAACCTGAAAGACAAATTAGGTGAGACTAGCAGGTCTGGTAACCGAATACTCTGTACTTATTCCCTGTGTCTTCCCCAGACATAAGCTATGGCTACGTGATAGATCAGCAACCCATTGGTCGTGAGCTCTTCCGCCAGTTCTGCGAGAACAAGCGGCCCGTCTACTTTCGGTACATCACCTTCCTGGATGAGGTGGTCAAGTAAGTGCTGCGCTGAAGGAAGAGCTGCGGTACATTGCCTAACCCGTGCTTTTCCATTACCGCCTTCCAGATACGAAATCGAGTACATCTCGAACCGCATATCCATTGGCCATGACATCGGGCGCCGTTTCCTGGACGTGGAGGCGCAGCTGGAGCTGCGGAACGGCAGCGGAGGCGACGCCTTGGACGCCGAGACGCAGGAGGAGCTGCTGCTCAACAGCAGCAACGCCAATCCAACTGAAACCGCTGAGACTGAACACTGCAACAATACCACCGCCAACAACTGCAACAACATCAACAACAGCACCATCAGCGACATCAATCACAAGAAGCTGGACACGCGCAACCACAACGGCGACGACGCCACCGGGAACGGGAGCCACCAGGAGGACGGGGACGAGTGCCCCGACAGCCACGGCGACGCGGAGAAGGGCGACGGCGGCGGTGGCGGTGGCGGAGGCGGAGAGGGCGGAGGAAAGCCGGGAAAAGGCGATCACGTGGGCGGATATCCCGACGAGCTCGTGCTGGACGTGCTGAACGACGATCTCATTGCGCAAGTGCGTAACAAACTCAACAGCGGCGGCAAGGACATCTTCGCCCAGTGTGTGAATGCGGTGAAGGCGTTCCTGGCCGGCGAGCCTTTCCGGGAGTTTGAGAGCTCCATGTATTTTCACCGGTAAGTTGTATACCTTAGGAGTTAATTCCCTCAATTTATTATATAATTTATTGTTTTGTTGGAAGAGAAATTAAGGCAACCAAAAACTTATTTTACTTGTCAATTATCTTTTATTATTTTTTTTGGTAACACACAGCTCCATTGTAAATGGATAGCTTGTACATCTTAGCCACTCTTAAAGTGAAGAAAATGAAAAGAAAATACTCCTTAAATAATTCCCTTCCCTTTTCTCCTCCCACCAACCAGATACTTGCAGTGGAAGTGGCTGGAGGCGCAGCCAATCACCTATAAAACGTTTCGCATGTACCGGGTGCTCGGAAAGGGCGGCTTCGGCGAGGTGTGCGCCTGTCAGGTAAGCCAGAAAAATCGCCACCTGTGGCCACCTGACCTCGTTTTCACACTCCCGCCTTCCCTATTCCCTCCTCCCGTTCGCAGGTGCGGGCCACTGGGAAAATGTACGCGTGCAAAAAGCTGGAGAAGAAGCGCATCAAGAAGCGCAAGGGCGAGTCGATGGTGTTAATCGAGAAGCAGATACTGCAGAAAATCAACTCGCCGTTCGTGGTCAACCTGGCCTACGCGTACGAGACAAAGGACGCCCTCTGCCTGGTGCTGACCATAATGAATGGTGGGTATTATCCCGTATTCAGTATCCCGTTGCCTGCAGACCAAGTCGGGCCAAGCCAATACAGCTGTCGATGGCCAGCCAGTTAGGGTTAATTAAGTGCTGGGGCTCTGAATCGGTTAATCCGGTTAGTTTTCCCATTCGATGGCATCCAGTGTCCAGTGTCCATCGCTGTCAGTTATCCGAGCGTCCGACATTTGCATGCATCCATTTAAACGATAACAAATGCATGTGTAATCCCGGCGATGATTGAGTTTGCGATTTTAATTAAATTCCTGGCATTCAGGCTGCTGGCACAATGCCGAAGTCATCCCGCTGCTCATCCATGTTCAGCTGCCTGTCCGTCAGTCCGTCAGTCCGCGACCTAATTGAATTTGAACACAAAAGCCGGAGCTAGTCAGTCAACCAATAAGGCTCTCGGGACCTGTTCGCGCCATTGTTCGAGCAAGACAATCAACAACTGCCCTCTTCCTTGCAGGCGGCGATTTGAAGTTCCACATATACAACATGGGCGGCGAGTCCGGCTTCGAGCTGGAGCGCGCCCGCTTCTACGCCGCCGAGGTGGCCTGTGGCCTGCAGCACCTGCACAAGCAGGGCATCGTCTACCGGGACTGCAAGCCGGAGAACATCCTCCTCGACGACCACGGCCACGTGCGCATCTCCGACCTGGGACTTGCCGTCGAGATTCCGGAGGGCGAGATGGTGCGCGGCCGGGTGGGCACAGTGGGTAAGCAGTCGCGCGGCTGACTTCAGTCAGTGAACGGCCTCTGGACTAAGCCACTTTCCTTTTTGCGCCCCCGCAGGCTACATGGCGCCCGAGGTCATCGACAACGAGAAGTACGCCTTCTCGCCGGACTGGTTCAGCTTCGGCTGCCTGCTGTACGAGATGATCGAGGGTCAGGCGCCCTTCCGGATGCGCAAGGAGAAGGTGAAGCGCGAGGAGGTGGACAGGCGCGTCAAGGTTGGTAATCACCGTCAGCGCCAGTCGGATTTGCGCTAATCCCTCTTTCCCTTTCCCCGCAGGAGGATCCCGAGAAGTATTCGAGCAAGTTCAACGACGAAGCCAAATCAATGTGCCAACAGCTGTTAGCTAAATCGATAAAGCAGCGCCTGGGCTGCCGCAACGGACGCATGGGCGGGCAGGAGGTGATGGCCCACCCGTTTTTCCACTCCACCCAGCTCAACTGGCGTCGCCTGGAGGCTGGCATGCTGGAGCCGCCCTTTGTGCCAGACGTGAGTGGGCTCATTTGCATATGCCGATATTGGAAATGCCTGCCTGGGACGCCGACTTTAATCGCTTTTCCATCATCCGCAGCCGCACGCCGTTTACGCCAAAGATGTGCTCGATATTGAACAGTTCTCAACGGTGAAGGGCGTCAATATCGACGAGTCCGACACGAACTTCTACACGAAATTCAACACGGGCTCCGTGTCCATTTCCTGGCAGAACGAGATGATGGAGACCGAGTGCTTTCGGGAGCTCAACGTCTTTGGTCCCGAGGAGTGTCCCACGCCAGACTTGCAGATCAACGCGACCCCGGAGCCGGACAAGGCGGGCTGCTTCCCGTTCCGCCGGAAGGTGAGTGCACTTCGTGTCTGACTTCTGTCCACATTCAAATGACTCTTTTTCCATCTCAGAAGAAGCAGCCGGCTCGCACACAGCCCATTCCCATTCCCGAGCATCTGCTAACCACTAGTCACAGCGTGTCCTCCACGACGGTCGAGAGCTGATAGCACAGATCTGTCGAGGATGCCTCCAAGCGGTCGCCTGATGTAGACGTCGACTCATAGCACAAACTGCGCACAGTTACCCCGAGTCGGGGGGACTCGGCAGAAACGGAGGAACATCTTAGCACAACCTAACTACGAAACCAGAACCGGGATGATCGGTTTCTCCCTCAGTTGAAGCGCAAATAGCATTTTTTAAATTGTATTTTTACATCAATTTTTCTAATGAAATTACACGGTGATTTCGCCACATATATCTATAAATGTTTCCAAAAGACTCCACATCAAACAAAAAACACAAACAATGAGCACACATTAGAGAGTTATTTAACTGAGAAAGTGGCATTAGTACCACTCTCTACACGACTTGAGAGCAAGAGAAGCCAGTTCGTCAAAGCACCCAAATCTAAAGTTACTTAATAGGAGCGCTATTCAAATATATTATCGACCATCTAAACAAACATCGCCAGAAGCAGAAGCAGAAGCAGGACAACAGCATGATCAGCCGCTCCACTTAGACGGAAAAGTAGAGGCAACGCCAGCAGAGTAAAGTGTAATTTTTGTAAAGTAGTTTGTGCTCAACGGAACAGCGTTGGAGGATAGATGTTCTAGTTAGCATTTGTAAGTTAAGAAAGTGACATGAATACTCGAAAACTTGAATGCATTTTTAACAAATACTTAAAACATGCTACTTTATTGTACATGCGTAGATCAAGCGTACAACCTAAACAGATTGTAAATTTTAAAACCTAATATTATTTATGCGACTCCTAAGTTTTATTGCCGCACACTTTTGCTAAGCTTCTCATATTGTTCTTTGAAACTTTTCTGTTGCCTAAGTTTAAGTTGGCCCAAAGGCTCCCATGGGATAACGTTATTACTGATATTTGTTTCTTCATGCAATAATTTTAACAGCAAGTTTTGCTAACTTATGCTAATTCATTGAGATATCGATGTCAGCTAGTTTCTAAGTTTCGTGTAAACGTAGCGTAGGCATTTTGTAATTAGCAACAAAGAACGAATCACGAAAACAAAATTAAACCAATTGGAGAATTTATTATGTTAATATGGAAAATTGATTATAATTATTGAACTTGTTGGCAGTTGCAAAAGTGTCAGCTGCAAGTCTTAGTTCAGATTCTGATTTAGGCACTACTAGTAAATTGTAAGGTACATATTGAAAAACTACTACCAGCACAACCAACCCGCATTCAAAGCAGACAAACGCCACCAGCCGGCAACCAATTTAGCACTACACCTACGATAATGTAAACCAAACTGAGCAAGCGCCGAAATATTTATCTTTAGCAATTAAAGGCATATTTATAGAGCATCGTAAATACCAGATATACATACATAAATAAATCTATTCTGTAAGCGAAATGATACAAATTACAAACGCAAAGTCAAGAGAAGAACATTCAGAAACAATAAACGTATTTAACTACCACCCTCGACCGTCGTTTTACTGAGTTGATAGTGAAATAAATGTTGATCGTTCGGCCATGCCGAACATATTCAACCAAATCTCACTTTGGAATACCAGGCGAACAGAATGCAAGAGTTGATAGCCACTTTAAATTGTTCAATGTATAAGTTGCCAAGAATTATAAAAATTGATTTGAAAAGACTAGTTAAAAATGTTGGTAAGAAACACTATATTTTTAGTCGTTTTTCGGTTGTAATACAAACAAAAAGCGACTTACAGCTGAACCAAACACTGTTTTGAGATCCTTATGACCATAGTTAACGAGCCCAATCACTTTTTGGACGATTACAAAAAAATGATTTTTGGCCATTTTTCGCATTTTTGTTAAGGGGTTACATCGTCATTTTTTGCGAAAAATGGCAAAATTTCAACTTTTTTGGGTAGTTATACCATCGGATAGGAAATTTTATTGTGAATTCAACGACGTATGCCATTCCACATTTGGAAGAGTACTTCTTGAGATATTCCAAAAAAACTGGGCTTTTTTGCGTAGTTTTACGTAGTTTTCAGCGAAAAAAAACATTTTTTAATGGTAATTTGTCTGTTATTTGGGAAAGAAACAACTTAGAGCCAAACAAAGTATAGTTTTGGAAACTAGAGAAGCTCTACTAATCAATTCAATTGTCATTTTAACTTATCCCTTAGTTAGCTTCTAAAAATTGATCTAGAAAACATTAGTTCATAAATTTGGTAAAAAAGACCACATTTTTGGTTGTTTTTCGGTTGTAATAAAAAAAACAAGCGACTTACAGCCGAACCAAACACTGTTTTGAGCTCCTTATGACCATAGTTAACGAGACCAATCACTTTTTGGACGATTACAAAAAAATGATTTTTGGCCATTTTTCGCATTTTTCTTAAGGGGTTACATCGTCATTTTTTGCGAAAAATGGCAAAATTTCAACTTTTTTGGGTAGTTATACCATCGGATAGGAAATTTTATTGTGAATTCAACGACGTATGCCATTCCACATTTGGAAGAGTACTTCTTGAGATATTCCAAAAAAACTGGGCTTTTTTGCGTAGTTTTACGTAGTTTTCAGCGAAAAAAAACATTTTTTAATGGTAATTTGTCTGTTATTTGGGCAAGAAACAACTCAGAGCCAAACAAATAATAGTTTTGGAAACTAGAGAAGCTCTACTATTCAATTCAATTGTCATTTTAACTTATCCCTTAGTTAGTTTCTGAAAATTGATTTGGAAAACATTAGTTCATAAATTTGGTAAAAAAGACCACATTTTTGGTTGTTTTTCGGTTGTAATAAAAAAACAAGCGACTTACAGCCGAACCAAACACTGTTTTGAGCTCCTTATGACCATAGTTAACGAGCCCAATCACTTTTTGGACGATTACAAAAAAATGATTTTTGGCCATTTTTCGCATTTTTCTTAAGGGGTTACATCGTCATTTTTTGCGAAAAATGGCAAAATTTCAACTTTTTTGGGTAGTTATACCATCGGATAGGAAATTTTATTGTGAATTCAACGACGTATGCCATTCCACATTTGGAAGAGTACTTCTTGAGATATTCCAAAAAAACTGGGCTTTTTTGCGTAGTTTTACGTAGTTTTCAGCGAAAAAAAAACATTTTTTAATGGTAATTTGTCTGTTATTTGGGCAAGAAACAACTTAGAGCCAAACAAAGTATAGTTTTGGAAACTAGAGAAGCTCTACTATTCAATTCAATTGTCATTTTAACTTATCCCTTAGTTAGCTTCTAAAAATTGATCTAGAAAACATTAGTTCATAAATTTGGTAAAAAAGACCACATTTTTGGTTGTTTTTCGGTTGTAATAAAAAAAACAAGCGACTTACAGCCGAACCAAACACTGTTTTGAGCTCCTTATGACCATAGTTAACGAGCCCAATCACTTTTTGGACGATTACAAAAAAATGATTTTTGGCCATTTTTCGCATTTTTCTTAAGGGGTTACATCGTCATTTTTTGCGAAAAATGGCAAAATTTCAACTTTTTTGGGTAGTTATACCATCGGATAGGAAATTTTATTGTGAATTCAACGACGTATGCCATTCCACATTTGGAAGAGTACTTCTTGAGATATTCCAAAAAAACTGGGCTTTTTTGCGTAGTTTTACGTAGTTTTCAGCGAAAAAAAACATTTTTTAATGGTAATTTGTCTGTTATTTGGGCAAGAAACAACTCAGAGCCAAACAAATAATAGTTTTGGAAACTAGAGAAGCTCTACTATTCAATTCAATTGTCATTTTAACTTATCCCTTAGTTAGTTTCTGAAAATTGATTTGGAAAACATTAGTTCATAAATTTGGTAAAAAAGACCACATTTTTGGTTGTTTTTCGGTTGTAATAAAAAAAACAAGCGACTTACAGCCGAACCAAACACTTTTTTGAGCTCCTTATGACCATAGTTAACGAGCCCAATCACTTTTTGGACGATTACAAAAAAATGATTTTTGGCCATTTTTCGCATTTTTCTTAAGGGGTTACATCGTCATTTTTTGCGAAAAATGGCAAAATTTCAACTTTTTTGGGTAGTTATACCATCGGATAGGAAATTTTATTGTGAATTCAACGACGTATGCCATTCCACATTTGGAAGAGTACTTCTTGAGATATTCCAAAAAAACTGGGCTTTTTTGCGTAGTTTTACGTAGTTTTCAGCGAAAAAAAACATTTTTTAATGGTAATTTGTCTGTTATTTGGGCAAGAAACAACTCAGAGCCAAACAAATAACAGTTTTGGAAACTAGAGAAGCTCTACTATTCAATTCAATTGTCATTTTAACTTATCCCTTAGTTAGTTTCTGAAAATTGATTTGGAAAACATTAGTTCATAAATTTGGTAAAAAAGACCACATTTTTGGTTGTTTTTCGGTTGTAATAAAAAAAACAAGCGACTTACAGCCGAACCAAACACTGTTTTGAGCTCCTTATGACCATAGTTAACGAGCCCAATCACTTTTTGGACGATTACAAAAAAATGATTTTTGGCCATTTTTCGCATTTTTCTTAAGGGGTTACATCGTCATTTTTTGCGAAAAATGGCAAAATTTCAACTTTTTTGGGTAGTTATACCATCGGATAGGAAATTTTATTGTGAATTCAACGACGTATGCCATTCCACATTTGGAAGAGTACTTCTTGAGATATTCCAAATAAACTGGGCTTATTTGCGTAATTTTACGTAGTTTTCAGAGAAAAAAAACATTTTTTAATGGTAATTTGTCTGTTATTTGGGCAAGAAACAACTTATAGTTGTTAACAATGTATAGTTTTGGAAACTAGAATAGCGTACGATCTGTGTCACCGAAGGCAATTTAATTGTCATTTTAACTTATCCCTTAGTTTGTTTCTAAAAACTGAATTAGAAAAGACTAGTTGAAAATTTTGATAAGAAACACTATATTTTTAGTCGTTTTTCGGTTGTAATATGAGCAAAAGATGACTTACAGCGGAACAAAATTGACCAAATTTTACCAGTTTTAAGTCCAAAACTTTTCCAATTTTAGTCAGATCTTGAAGTGGCATACCTCTAAATGTTTGTGTTTCAATTCTATAACAAGCTCCATCATTACAAATTTTATTTTTGACCGATTTTTTTTTCAATTTTTATTAGATTTTCAAAAAATTCGGACATTTGACCAAGATTCACTAATTCTAAGCCCCTAATTACTATAATTACCTTTAACCATTAACAACATTATATTCTGAACCACAAAGGCTTGCGCCGGCAGTTGAAAATCTTGGTGGTTTGGTGTACGCCCGTGTAATCGAGGAGACACTCGGCGCCGTTGTTCTCGAAGGAGATCTCGCCCAGCCTGTACTCGGGGTTGAGGGCCACTCGCAGGATGTACCGTCTGTTCACGGGCACCCGGGTCACATCCACCCACTGACAGTCCAGCACATCTGTGTAGGTGTCTGCGCAGCCCACAGAGATGCCTGCGAAAGGATGGGTTATTGGAGCTCTGCGCCTCGGAGCTGGCTGAACTTACCCTGGGTGGTGTTGCCACATGTGTACTTCGGCCGCACTCCCGGCGTGCAGTCCGTGTCCATGAGGCAGAAGGAGGCCTTGTGGCCCTGGGCCACCTTCCGGTAGCGCAGGTCGTAGACGTCGAAAGTGGCGAAGACGTTCATGCTGTGGTAGTGCCGGTGGCACTGGTGCCACACCCAGTCCTTGTAGTTGGCGTACGGACTCACGTCCGCCGTGCCCACGTTGGACGCCTTCACGGAGAAGCGCAGCAGGATCCTGGCGGCGTTCGGCTGCGTCCTGCGGATCTCGTAGGCGTCGGCGGACACGCAGTGCTCCTCCATGGCGCAGGTGAGCCGCGACATGGGCACCGCCTCCAGGCGGGCGGTTCTCTCGATCTCCGCTAGCCCGATTTCCAGATCCGCCGAGTGGCTCACGCAGGCCACGGTGGTGACGTTGCGGTTCCTGGCGTTGCAGAGGGTGGGGTAGTGGGACTCCCTGATGCAGTCGGCCAGCCTACGCTCGGTGCCCCGGCACAAGGTGCCCACCATGGCCCAGGGGTGCTTCTGGCTGTCCCCGTGCTCCGTGCCCTGGCCGGCCTTCGAGGCGTAGCCGAGTCCCAGCTGCCGGCAGACCACGTTCGCCTCCCGCATGCTCCACGAGGTGCTGCAGATGGTGCCCCACGTGGCGCCGAAGTCGAAGCTCACCTCCACGCGTCCCTCGCGCAGGACCTGGACTCGTCCGCGAGTGGCCCCGCTGGTGGCCAGGCGCACCATCATGTTCCGGTAGTTGTTCTGCACGTTCAGCCCGCTGTTGGCCAAGCCCTGGCCCACGCCCAGCAGCAGCAGCAGCAGGAAAACCAGCGCTAGCGATTCCACCTCCATGGCTCCCCGGGCACTATCTGGTGGAGCACACCCCAATCCCTCCCCGATTTAAAGCTAGCGAAAACAAAGCCGCCGACTCGCGACAACAACTGGCTAATGGGGCTACAAGTGTGGGAGGTATATTGTGCGTTGTGCGATGTGCTTCCCCAGCAGACCGACCCACTTCTGCCAGGGAGCACGTTTGTTTGTATACAAAACTCAGCTGGCAGAATGCCTATTCCGACCGCGCGTGAGTGCTCTGGTTTTCTCGTTTCTGTTTTCTGGGGTATGGAGTGCATTCGTAAACAACAACTTCTGTGCGCCTGTTATGACTCGAGCAGCTTGCCGATGGCCTCTTTCAGTTCCGCCGGCCGGAAGACGCCGCGTTCCGTGATGATGCCGGTGATCAGGGAGGCGGGCGTGACGTCGAAGGCGGGGTTCCAGCAGTTGATGCCCGGCGCGGCGATCCGGTGCTCGCCCACGTGGGTCATCTCCCGGTCGGGCCGCTCCTCGATGATGATGTGGTCGCCGCCGGGAATGGCCAGGTCGATGGAGGTCAGCGGGGCGGCCACGTAGAAGGGCACGCCGTGGTGCTTGGCCACCACCGCGATCTGGTAGGTGCCAATCTTGTTCGCCGTGTCGCCGTTGGAGGCCACCTAGTTAAAAATACACACAATTAGTATATGCCTCTAGATTCCTCTAAATGGGTATGGTCAATTTTGAAGGTATATAAATAAATGTTGCATTAACATAAATTAAGTATGTGAGCCTCTAATGGCCAATTGTCGGTAGTCTCTATTTTTAAACAAACAATTGAAACGTTTACGTTTGGTTTTGACGCGAGCAATTCGTCAACCAAAACTCATTAAATGGTTTTTCTTCAACCGAAGGGAAGTCAAATGTTTGAAGGACCAGGTACTCACCCGATCTGCTCCCACCACGACGGCAGCCACATTCTTGGCCCGCAGCAGAGCGGCCACCATGCTGTCCAGAACCAGAGTGGCGGGGAATTTCTCGTGGACCAGTTCGTAGGCTGTGAGGCGAGCTCCCTGATTGTACGGACGGGTCTCTGTGCAGTAAACATGTTCTGGTGCGGGGAAGTGAAATCAGTAATGAGTTTATTATTTTCTTGCACTGTTTCAGGTTCCAACATTTCAGAACGTGAACACTGGAAGTTCTGCAAGGGATTCCAGCTCACCAAGTTTTCCTAGCTCGGCCAGTTGCCGGACCACTCCCAGGGCCGTTCCGTAACCCGCGGTGGCCAGGGAGCCCGTGTTGCAGTGGGTCAGCACCCGGACGGAGCCTGCAGATCCCGCCGGAGCTCCGGCCGCCTCGGCCACGCGCTGCAGAATCGCCTTGGCGCCGTGCGCTCCAATGGCGCGGTTGTCGGCGATGTCCTTCTTCAGCATCGCCTCAGTGGCACTCAGGAATCTGGAATGCAGTTCGGTTAAGCTTGACTGCGGCTCAGCGACGTGCGGATGCTACCTTTGCTTCATTTCCGCCACGTCAATGGCCTCGTCCTTGTCGAGTTCGTTGGCCAGGGTGATGAGTTCGTCGGCGGCGATTTTCATGTTCACGGCTGTGGGGCGCGCGGACACCAGGTAGTTCAACTTGCCCTCGATCTCCTGCCGCAGCGACTTCTTGTTGTCGAACTCCTCCGGGTTGATTTCCACGGCCAGGGATAGACATCCCACGATGGCGATGGCGGGAGCACCACGAACCTTTTTAAAAGTAAGGAAAAGAACATCAGTACCAGAATTACAGAAATCCAAACAATTCAAAACATCAATATCTTATCTAAGCAGTACTATAAAACACATAAATACTATTGGACAACAAATAAAAGCGACTGTTTTCCAAACACACTCAACTTATATGTAAGCCATTCACATTATCAAATCACGGATGGGGGCCATGGGGAAATTTTCGGGGCCACACTAGTACTAGGTGGAAACAAGAGCGGAGAACCGAAAGATTAGGACCGCTGGCCTATCTTGGCTTATCAGGTGACATGGCAAAAAGCGGGTAAATAGTTTACATGGTGCAGTCCAGGGTCTCCACGTGATAAGCCGCGTGCTCTTGGCCAAGCGATCTGCCACCGGGCCGATGGAGCATCATCTGGGGGCATTAGCCCAGTAAGAGCCAATCGACGAATGACGCGCGATGAGTAGTTTTATTTTTGGCAAGCGTTTTCAAAATTTTTAATTTCAATTACGTTATTTATAGCCGTGCAAACAGACAGACGACAAGCGACAAACGACAAGCAAGCGATCATGGCGCAGATTAAGAAATGTACCAATACCAATTTTAATGGCATCTAATGGCTTTCTGAGGGGAGGGCTATTAGTGGCAGGAGAGCCCGCCAGGGGCCAAGGTCGTCCACTCACCTGCATCTTGTTGATGACCTTCCAGCCATCCTCCACTCCGCGCACCACCACGTACTTGGACTGTCCCGGCAGGAGGAGCTGATCCAGGATCTCCAGGCTGCCCCGGGAGTACTTGATCGACTGCAGGCTCATCTTGTCGGGGTTGCGAGCTGAAACTGGAGCGAAATGAGATTCGATTAGTTAGGGAAACAGCTTGCGGAGATCAGGGGACGGACAACCCACACTTTCGGCGGTCAATGGAGCGCAGCCCGCGAATCGCTGGCAATTTATCAGTTATTAATCGAGCGCAGTCGCTGGGCCTTCGACGCTTTCTGCGGACGTCTGCCAGGCAAACGGATCAGTGAGCAACTGAACAGCCTCGTGGTTCTCGGGCGTCGGAAGAGTTTTCGCGCCGAGCAGCGCGAGCGAAAGTGGCGAGAACGCCGCCGGATGAGGAGGCGGTACACGGGAAAAATATGTTTCGCCTCTTCTTCACCTGACATGTGGAAGCAAGAGGTTGAGCTTGCCAGCTTAATAAACAACTAAATTTAAGCTGGAATTTATCAACACGATTTAAAGATATCTTGTTTTGCATAGCCATGACTTCTAAGATACATCCTATTACCATAAAAAAGTATTTTTCTGGGGAAAAACGTATAGAACGGTTTGAATGGATTTTAAAGAGAATAGAATATCTTGTTTGCTCTCGAGACAACATCTTTTTCAGTGTACCTAGCCAAAAGGGGCGTGCCAGGCGGAGGGCTTCGGCCGCGACATCGACATCGTCGATTAATTCAAGTTGACACATTCGGCTGCCGCTGATTTCTCTCTGCCGCTGCCGCCACTTCTCCCCAAGTGATAACACTTTGCCTCTGACGTCGCGGTCTTGTTGACAAGTGTAACTCGGCCAGAAATTAATCGCTTTGCTTATCTGTCGGCCGGCAGGTTATTGGGCAATTTTGAGTGTGCCTTAATTAATGCGACTGCAATTAGTTGGGCCGCACCGTGACAACGACTTTTCGGCTGGTCCTGTGCCAATAAACGGCCGGATGGGACGAGTGGGGAGGGATTTGCCGGAATAACCCATGCCCATCATCCGTCCATCATCGCAGCTTTTGGTGCTTTTGAGGTATCAACTGGTGGTTGCCGTAAGTTAGCCTCTTCCCCCCGGAAAAAATCCCAAACAAAAAGGGGCTCGCACCTTACGGGGATTGGGAATCGAAAATCGCGTGTAGTGGTTCGCGGTTATCGCATCGGCTACACGTTCGCCTGTCCGCACAATTACTTGATTTATTTATAATTTTGATATTTACGAGTGCGGTTCCGGTGAGTGTGGTCTTCCCTTTTTTCTCTTGGAATACCAAAGTGGGGGCCTGTTAACTGGATACTTTTAAATATTTTTTTTTGCTAGATGTTTGGTCTCTGAAAAAACTTACTTAATATTTTGAATCACTCTTTTTCATTTCTTGCTATTCGGGCTCAAAAGGTAGTTAACTGAAGTTACTATGCATTAAGTTCTGCGATGCGTTTCCCGCTATTAGTTATTTAGCTATTTATTTATCGCGCAACTGACAACACTGCTGAGGTGGCTTCCAGCTGCCGCCACCGAACGCCAGGTGGCGCTCGCCGAGCGCCAAATTTAAATCGGAGCAACCGTTCGCTCAGTACTTAAATTTCCCAGGTAATTCGTTCTGATACGTAGGATCAATCATGAGCAAAGTCGTTGGACCAAGCCTCTACCGCCTTGTGCCGTCGAAAACAGTCTTTCTGCTGTGCGACGTCCAGGAGAAGTTCAAGCCGGCGATTCCGCTGCTGAGTTCGCTCATCGAGAACACTGCCAAACTGGTGAGACAGCAGAAGTGACAGGATAATGGGCGGGTTTCTAATGGATTCGCATTCCAGCTGGCGGCCGGCAAGGTCTTCCAGGTGCCCCTGCTGGTCACCGAGCAGTACCCCGAGAAGCTGGGCAAGACCGTCTGTGAGCTGGACGTCGGACATGCCTGCGCCAATGTGGCGAAGACCAAGTTTTCTATGTTGGTGGAGCCCGTGCGTCAGCGCATGACTGATATCTTCGGAGGCAAGCCCAAGACAGCGGTCCTGTTTGGCCTGGAGGTGGGTCATCCCTTCGAGTGGCGATTCTTTTGCTAAGGGACTCCTTTCCCCGTTTTCAGACCCACGTTTGCGTGGAGCAGACTGCATTCGACCTGGTTAACGAGCAAATCGACGTCTGGCTGGTGGCCGACTGCTGCGCTTCGCGTCTCAATCAGGACAGGGACTTGGCTCTGGAGCGCCTGCGCCACATTGGCTGCACCATCTCCACCTCCGAGAGCGTGATTTTCAACCTGCTGTCGGACAAGGACAACACGGCCTTCAAGGACATTGCTCCTCTGGTGAAGAAGGTGTCCGCGGATATGCAGATCTGGCGGCCCTCAAAAAATTAATTTAGGCGGCTCTTTTCATGTACTTGCGGGCAGGGCAGTAAACCATTATTCTGGCTCATGCAGAGTGCTTCGCAGGGGGAGTTGTGGGAATTATGAGGGAATGACCCACCGGTAGGGCCGGCTCCCTGTCCTCGTCAACTCATAAACATCTCGGCCAAGTGGACAGCTGAATGGAGCAGCATTTGGTGCCAGCCCCTTTTGCCTAAGCGGCGCCTTATAAGCACCATCAAGAAACACATCCGATGGCCCATCGATAGAAACAGCAGCTCCTGCACGGCACTGCTGCCAATTTATGCAATGGCTCTGGCTTGGCCATCGGACCTGGAATTGGCTGGCGGGCAGTTAAATTTTATGATGCAATCGCGACAATCTCCAGCGCCCATCTGGCCATCTAGCCATCTTGCATCGGCGCTGCAGGCAGCTGAAGGCATCCAGCGATGCTGCGATGCTGAGATGCTGCGCTCCAGAGATCCGGGGATCCAGCGATGCTATCCGATCCAAGTGATGGTGACAATGTAGGCAGGCGTCTGATTGACTCATAACAGGCCACGCAAACATCGCGATCTTGATCGCCATTTGCATGCCAAGGAGAGGATCTCCGCCGCCTCCGGCAGCTGGCAATTTATTTGCCCAGGCCCGTGTCTCCATCTCCATTTCCATCCCCATCTCCATCTGCGTCTCCATCTCCATCTCCAGCTGGATAGCTCTAAACCACTCCAAGCCCAAAGTGATGGCGATGGCATCTTGGCACGCGATAAGTCAACAACTTATCCCGGTGCCTCTGCCAGATCTCTGATCTATCCAATTAGACATGCCTTTCGGCCGCGGCTTTAATTCCGCCCAGCTCCTCGGCGGGAAAAGTGAATTGGGCTAACGGCAGTGTGCGTAAGCTTTTCCCGCCCAGGGAATCCATAAATTTCTGGCCTTGGAACTGGTTTCTGCATTTTCAGTGCCAACCTCGCACTTGGCACTTTGATAAATTCGGTTTTCCTTTTCTGCCGCACGATGCAACAGCAAAATAAAGATGATAAATCTGTGAAATTGCCAGCTCGGTGCGCAAATGAACACGGCTCCATTTCCATTTCCACTTCCACTTCCACTTGCAACCCGCAGCCAGATCAGCGATCTGTGATCTTCGGCAGCCGAAGATTTAGCTGCCTAGCTGCTGTAGAGAATCGATGAGAGATTGGGGATTTATGTGCTGGCAGCCAGGCAAGTGGCAACTGCGGACACGCTCATAGATCAAATCGACCAAAGCGACCAGATCGACGGGGAGCAGCCGAAGAGGGCTCTTTAAGGCGAGTTTCGTTGCCTTGGCTATAAACAAACAGGAATTAGGCGAAAACCCGGTCCTTAAAATTAAGAAATTTATCAAGCAAACGCCGGGTCAGCAACCAGAGTACCAGAGTCGGAGTCCACCACTGCCCTCCTTCACAAGTTAATCCCCGAGGAGCCATTTATCCCATTTGAATGGGGCATTGAATCGCGGTTGTCCGCTGCCCCGCTGCCCAGGAATTCCGATTCCTGCATCTCTGTTGACAAATGTGAGAATCCCAGGCGGCGCCTTCAAAGGCTTCCAGCGGAGCCTTCTGTCTGCCTTCGCCTGCAGCTCCGCTCACTCAGATTGCATAATTTATGGAGCCGCCTGCCCAAATTAGCCAAAATCTTGTGCTCCCCCATTAATGAGACATCTAATGAAAGATCGCTTGCATTTCCCACACTTCGGGTCGGGCGCTTCTCATGCCACAATTAGTGCAATCGTTTCTCCATGCTAATTATTCGTTTGTTCTTCAAAAACCGCTCACCCAAAAGGGGCGTGGCGCCTGGCGGTCATAGGGAAAACTCTGCTTCGGTTTCCGCCTCTGCGTTTGGGGTCCGCGTCACCTGTTAACCCACAAAATGCATGTGGCCAGTGACCAGCAATTAGCCGAATGAGATATGTATCTCGAGCTGCTAAGTGGCTGCGAGTACGTCTAATTAGCATATGGCCCACAATGTATCGGTATCTGCATTTGTGTCTGTCTCAATCTGTATTCTGTATTCTGTATCTGTACTCGTATTTGTATACGTATCTGGGGGTGTGTTTATGGGTGTGAGATGCCCAGGGCACACGTATTAATTAGGCCCGGTTATGATTGCCGGTCTCAAAGCACCGGTGATAATCGTCCGCTAACAAGAAGCCGGGAATCGGGAATCGGGAAATGCGTTTGGAGGAACGTGGCCCCAATGAGAGATGGGGATGGGCTGGGGCAGACCTTGTCTGCCGCTCCCGCGGGTTCGTGAAAATTCACTTAGCTCTTTGGATTGTAATTTGGTGTGCTTTGTTACCGAATTCCTACGGCTTGGCTGGGACGACCTCTCGAAGCCGAAATTATCTTCTTGCCAAATAACAATTTTCGGATTACATGTTACTTAAGCATAACGGAGATTCTTGGTTTGTGTGGAGCAGGTGGGGCCCGGTCTAACCTCTGATACTTCTGAGTGTCTTCTGGGCTCCCCTTTTCTTGCAGTGCCTCCACCTGTTCACCATGCCAAGCGAATGCTCAGGCAGGGACAATGGGTCAGACTGGCCCGCGGGCCTCCTGTCGTCGATTAAGATCGCCGCTGTTTATTTGCCGCTTGTCCGATCGCTCAAACTAGATCAGGCGGAGATATGAACGCTGTTTACACCGTGTCTCCGAATGTTTTCTCTCAATCCCAGTGCTATCTTCACTTTATCAAACAATGCCGCAGCGGCAACAATGGCGCGACATTTGAAAAGCAGTGAAAGGTGGCCGCTGGCCAGCGGACTTGCTCCACTTGGAGTTGCTCCGGCCTGGAAGAACAGTCATAGCCATAGTCATATATGTAACTAATTTGCTTAAAAGCGGCCACAATTGCAGGCCATTTCGGCTGAGCGGTGGCCCACAAAAGTCGCCGAAAAAGATTTACACGAATTTCTGCCGCTCATTCGGCCCGAGTGTTTGTATATGGGCAGTTGGCCAACAAAGGCGGCCAAGTCAAACACATTTATTTGCGTGCTCTGTGGCCGATACCCTCTCTCCACATCAAAGTGACTTGGCTCGCATCTGACTTGCAGCCCGTGCAGTTTCAGTGGCCATATTTGGGCAGTTTCACTTGTTCGGGGATCTTCTTTTTTGGCAGAAGGCGGGGGACAATTAGATATGCGCCAAGCGCACTTACTTTCCAACCAAATTAGCATACGCTGCTAGCCGGCTCCTCAGTGCATTCCGCCTGTAAAGTCCATCCTGTGATTCAAAAAGAAAGTGACAAGGGGACGGCTAGGACGCGCGGCCCATAAGGAGCTGCGCTTCCACTGGCCACCGAATCGATTGATTGCCCAATCGCCTGGCTTTCGCTGACCCAGCCCCAAAGAGCGCCTGCTGCTCCGAGTAATCCACTTGACTCAAATGTCAAAGGCTGCGCCCGTGCTCTTTTCCCAGTGGGGTCGAGCCATTGTGTCACGACTGGCCATAAACACCTAGTAAAAATTGAAATGGTCGGACGGCGGCGGTTGTTATTAAATCGAAGTAATTTGTGCAGGGCCCACAAAGAAGCCGCCGACGACTCTCGGATTGGCGAGCATGGAAAGTGAAGTTTCGGACTGGCAGATTCACTTTCTGGCAGGGAAGACAAAGGCCCAGAAGCCGGCCGAGAGAAATGGGCTAACGATAATGGCCGAAAAGGGCTGTGCTCCGGCTCTAATTGGGCTTATTAGACGCTGCTCTGCTCTGTGCTGCTCTACTCTGATCCAGTTCATTGCCCGACTCCCACAAGCCGGCAGCTCTGTCAAATGCATTCAATTAAGGTTAATTTATAGCCACTTCCCCTCCGTAATTACCAGACGAAAATGTGTCAGTACGTTGGCAAAACTCTGCGGTTATGATTTGTGAAGAGCTCGCAGCCATTGTCCAATTCGGCTGGCCGTGATTAATGGAGTGTGTGGCCAGTGGCCGATGCTGGATTCTCGATGGTCGATGGCCAGTGGCCGGTGGAAATTGGCACAGTCTGCGGATTGGTGGTCAGTGAGCGATGTAGGTGATGTTCCCGGGCTCATCTGGTGTCCAGTTAGCCGGCTTTTCTTCGGCTTGTTGGCCTGTCAGGCGGCAGCGCAAAACTGACAGCCAACATTGACATCCGACGACGACATCGGAATAGGTAAGTAACAAGGGGCTACGGGCACAGGCTGGGATTCCGGGCCAGGTCTTGAGTCTCAGGTCCAGGCAACGGTAGCTCATGTCGGACATTCAAATAATGGAACGATGTTGTACCTGTACCTGACCCATATCGGTTTCCTTTGTGCTGCCTGCCTGGGCCTGGGGCTTTTCCAGCCCGAAAGAGTTCAGCAGGTCGCGGTCGGAGATTTTTGGCATATGAAAAGTGAAAACCCCATTTGAATGGGAACCGAGCAACCGAGCCACTGAGCCACTGAGCAACTGAGCGATCGAACAAATGAACAATCTGCCCCTCGGCGGACCGCCAAATGAATCGTGTTGACAGTGAAGTGAAATGTAGGAGGTTTTATGCTGATTTCCACAAACTGCAACAGCTGCTCGCAGCCCGCAATTTGCTAGGAAAAATCAAAAGTGAAGGCGTTGTGGGAGATCTTCTTCTCCGGCCAAGGCTTTCATTAAATTTCCAAGCGAGTTGCCAGCGATCAGCGGAAGAACCCGAACCGAATGCCAAATAACTTGTGGAGCAAGCAAACACAAAGCACTCAACCGCTTTTCACTCGAGCAGCATTTCCTTTGTCTTTGCGATCCGGCAAACGGGTTTCCCTTGCACTCCACTTTTCGCTCAAGCTTTGCTCGCGAGTTGGACTTTATTTTAATTTGCCCGGCAAAAGTATCCAGGCAGGGTGCTAATGAGACATAATGACATAACAGCCGCCAAGGCCAGGACAATTTATCATTGCCCCCGCCCCGGGATCCCTTTCCACGATCTGATGCCCCTGCCGTTGGCCGGGCCAATATTTCCTAATATTCGCAATCATTTAACTTAATGTGCGAACATTAATTTTCCTAGCCAAGGATGAGGACGCCGATG